GGGGGGGGGGAGCGCCAGCCACTCTGGAGCTGGCCGGGGGGCTGCCCGGCGTGGAACGGCACGGTGTGCAGGCCGGGTGGTGCGGCACACACCGAGGGGCGAGCCCTCAGCTCGCTCCTCCTGGGAGCCACAGCAGCAGACGTGCCTGGTGGCCCTGGCCGCGTGCCTTACAAGGACACACACTGCTTCCACGCCAGGGAAAGGTGCAGCCACACCCGGGACACACTGGGAATGATCCAGAGCTGCCTTCCCCAGCCCCTCGCTCAGGGCACCACAGCAGCAGACGTGCCTGGTGGCCCTGGCCGCGTGCCTTACAAGGACACACACTGCTTCCACGCCAGGGAAAGGTGCAGCCACACCCGGGACACACTGGGAATGATCCAGAGCTGCCTTCCCCAGCCCCTCGCTCAGGGCAGGTCATCTCCAGCCGGTCACCAAAGCAGTTTCTCCCTGACCCACACTCACAGGGCAGGAGGGACGCACTGGGAACATGGGCAGTGCCAGCCACGTCCCACGGAGCAGCACATGAGGAACCGCACACATTCCACTGCGTGTCCAGGTCTGGCATCCGCAGCTCCGCGAGTGGCCTCAAACACCGAGCTGGGGCCAGGAGGCCGTTTCAGAAGGGCCCTACCCAACACTGCTCTTCCCAGAGATGGGGAAGAAATAAGCTGACACCCAGCCACCCCCTCTATACCAACGTGAAGAAGCCTACGACAGACAGCCAGTGACCTAGACTACCAGAAACGGGGGATTTACATTTACAGGTAGAAAAACCCTCCCACATCTCTTTTTTTTAAAAAAAGTGTATTTTAGATTCTACAACTTAAGATTCTTTAGAAAGTGAAGTAACTGAATCGCAAGGACGCACTAGAATACTTCATGGTGCTATTTTACCAAGAAATTAGAAGAAAACAAAATTGTCCAGATGAGTTCTTCATCTACACGTCACCTGGCGGGAGAGAAATAAAAGCCAGTAAGACAACCCAGCTGCGCCAGTAAGGCCGCACTGCGCTGGAGGGGGTCGGTGGAGCAGCACAGGACCCTGCCCTCCGGTACAGCCGAGGGCTGGGACTCCTCTCCTGCTTGAGCCCAGCGCAGGCGTTACCAGGCAGTCCTGACCCTCCCATGCCTTAGAGCCCCGCTGGAGTCCAGCGCCTTCCTCCCCCTCTCCCCGGGCACACGGCTGTGCCCCACACGCAGCCCCAGCGGCTTCGGCAGCCCCCGCCCGGCTGCGCACACCCCCGGGCGGCA